TTATTATTGTGCATGGTTCTGCTAATCATCTAAAAGCTAATAGCAAAATAGTTTTTTTATTTAACCAAAAGCTTTTTCCATTAATTTTGAAAATCATTAGCAGACCAATTAAGCTCAGCTAATTACGTTCTACTAATTTTAAGTTCGCTAACAGTTAACTAACATCAACAGGTTTGTATTAGTCACCGGCTATCTTAGCTTTAGCTAATTATTTTACATATTTTGCTGCTTAGAATGGCTATAATATTTTAAGTTAGCGCATTATTATGTGGTGAAGCTCACCTTTTGTTAGCTATGCCCACCACAACTATTATTATTATTACCAATATTATTATTGTTAGTAGTAGTAGTAGTAGTAGTAGTAGTAGTAGTAGTAGTAGTAGTAGTAGTAGTAGTAGTAGTAGTACCACCTCTGCCTCAGATTGAGATAAAAAACATTAGTTTTATTTTGAAGGCGGTGCGGACCGGAAGTGTGACGCCCGTCAGTGCGGGGAATCTGATGATCGCAGCAGCACATTCCAATGTGATCAAGATGTAGCGGCGGTGCTGAGCGGACCGACTTTGTGCTTCCAGTCCCGTGTTCAGGCGCACTTTAACGGATAAAATGTCCACCTCGAAGGAGGCGAACACCTGTCCCGACGGCTACCGGGCTTTGAGTACCGCCGAGCTGCGCGAGCTTTTGCAAAACGACGACAAAATGGACAAAATCATCCGACTCAATGAGAAGGTAGGTGTCTTCTTCTGTCAGCCGCTCCAGAAAGTGCCGTGGGGTATTAGCGCGAAATCTGTCCTGTAAGTCTTCTTTTTCCATAAAGACAGTTTCCGAATTCTATTTATTAATGTGAGCCTAAAACGTGTCTTTTTGTTGTTGTTGTTGTTGTTGTTGTTGTTGTTGTTGTCGGTCTACCATGGCTCATTATTGATCGTCTTCGTTCGATCCATTCGTTTTTTCCCTTTCATAAATCCCATTTTTACTAAATCTAATGATCCAAATGAGGATTAAATTAGGGATTATTGGTGTGTTTGACGTTTGATGAGCAGGGAGCACCAATCTGGTGCAGTCCTCACGAGATAAATCAATTACAGCTGTTTTAATTAAACCTTCAACTAATGATATGCGAGATCTCGTGCGAGATCCCGCGAAATCTGTTAGCGCTCAGACTTTGTTGGAAACTGCTCTCAACTACTACCACGCCAAATTACAGCTCAACATCTGTGAAATTGACCAAATTATAGTCATTTTTATGTTTTCTGAGCTCAGTTGGTTGTGACGGCCTTCTTGTATTGGATTGACTTCAAAAGTTAATGACTTCTAGACATGCATCCAGTTATTACTTTCTGAGAGTTACATTAAAATCTGCCTAGTAGTTTGTGAAATATTTTGCTAACAGACAAATGGGGTTGACCATTGGATAATTCCAAAGATTTTAGCAAAGCTGTCATCCAGCATGTGCTTTTAAAATATGTGTTGCGGATGACTTTAAACTACTACCGCCTTGAATTGTAGCTCAATAGCTTTAAAATTTACTGAATTATATCAATTTTTATGATTCCTGAGATCAGCTGGCTTTGGCGGCCATCTTAAATGGATTGACTCCAAAACTTAATGAGTTGTAGAGGTACATCTGTTGGTTACTTTCTGTAAGGTTGGAGAAAATCTGTCCAGTTGTTAATGAAATATTTTYCTAACAGATATGGTTGACTCCAGTACTTAAAGTTAAAATGGCGACACGTTGACTTTCGATGTAAAAGTTGGGGATGACTCTCATCTAAGACCAAACCAAGTTTTAGCCCAACAAGTGTTAATTTTTGTTTGAATTTGCTTTTCTGCGTTGGCCATGTTGAATATAATTCAATCCTAAAGTTATTGAAGTGTGTAAACGCACAACTTGGCAGCAGTTTAATTAAAATCCAACCTTTGGTTTCTAAGATATATTTTGCTAACACTACAGACAAATAATGGAAAATGTTTTATTTCAGAATTGATTCAGTGTGTTTTATAAATTGATAAACTTAAAGTTGGATCATACTTATTAGCTGTTTCCATAGTTTTGCATGCAAATAAATAATAAAACACAAAAATCTAGGTATTTTATGAGGGAATGTTTCTCCCTATTACCTCCCTAAATGTAGCCGCTGCTGTCCTTAACCCTAAACTTTTTTCCCGAGCTCCATTTCTGAGGTTTGGTCAGGACAATAACAGCATTGAGCAGGCTGCGGGGCTGATAACAGCAGAGTGTGCAGTGAAACATAACCAGCGTGGGTTAGTCATCCTGCAGCTGTGTGACGCTGAAAGATTTAAAAAACTCCTCTTTATCTGGCTGCTGATGGTGATGGCTGTGGAGACAGACTGATTTACCGCCGTGTCCAGATGGGAACATTTATTTTTTTTCTCCAAAACAATCTCTTCATTTGATTCTAAAAAGATAAATAAATAAAAAAAATAGGGTTGGACTCTTTAGGCGCCTCAGGATTCAGAGGGCTGTGGTGTGATTATAGACCGATTATTGATGGGTACACAATCACAAACCAGATCCGGAGCAAAGAATCTGTCAGAATAAAATATTATTATCAGCTGTACAGCTTTAAACTGTTTTTATTCAAACAGGATTTTGGAAAGTAACTTAAAATGCTGTCAAAATAAGTACATTTTTAATGTACTTATACTGTAACTGTAATGTACTGATGAAAACACATGAACACTGTATCTGATGCTGCAGCTAATGAAATGTTACTGAGCTGATGTTACTACAACTTYTCTAGCCCAGTGTTGGTAATGGACATATTTTATTGTTTATTTTTACCCWGAAGTGTCAGCGAAGCCTCTCCCAGCATGCTGTTACTTCATGAACCCYGAGTGGAGTTTACTCATGTTGGTCGTGCACCATCCTTTAWACGGTATAATCTTAGGTTGTATTCACACCTGACACATTTGGTTCACTTTAAATGGACCAGACTTCCTTTCCCCGTTGGTCCGGACCTTTTATGCAGGTGTGAACATATACTCATGTGAACCTGGTGCGGACTAAGACCCACTGTTTGAGGTGGTCTCGGTCCGCTTCCAGACAAACTCTGGTGCAGTTCACTTTTGGGGTGAAWAAAGGCCAGCCTTAACCTGAACCAACTACAAGTCCCGGTTCCAATCGATACCCAAGACTCGATGCCCAACCCAAATGGTAAAAACCTGGAAGAAAGACTTGATCTTTGAACCCTGGTGTATTTAGTGGTTGAATCACCGGGGGAAGGTCCCATAAATGTGACTCAGAGCTCGGGGGCCGTTTCACAGAACCAGCATGGATCCGTTCAGGTGACACACCAGAACTCGGGCCGGATGAGGTCGTGTTTCTGTCCCGGTTCCTTCACGTGCCGTCTCTCATCTCCTCATTAGCCGTGGCAGCAGAAACACTTCATTAGCTGTGTGTTAATTATGAACGTTATGTAAGCCTTGAAGTTAAATCACAGAGTGGATCAGAACCACGACCGCTGCAGTACAAACTCATTATTTCTCATCCATACAGCTCGTCAGGGGGTTTAAATGTCCTCCATGTCTGTTGGGATATTTTTATTTATTCTCTAAGGGACGTAACTGAAACAAAATGGTTTTTATCTCCCGCTGCTGAAAGGTGAAACGCTGGTGATAATGTTTTTACTGAAATATCTCACGAACCAACAACTGATGAGATTTTGGAGTTATTGCGTTTCAAAATGGCCACCACTGCCAGCTGATCCTAGAAAACACAAAAAAGTCTTTAACTCATTTAGTTTTACAAACTGAGCTGATATTTGATGTGAAAACTGCTGAGAGTCATCTCCTATAGTGTTCCTAAATAAAGTAAACAACAGACTGGTTTTCTACCTGGTACTCAGATCCTGACCGACACAGAGTTACGRGACAAATTCTCCTTCACTGAGGAGAATCTCGGGCTGCCAGTTTTATCCCCYACTGGTTGTTTAATTAACGGTTTCAGACTCCAGAAGGCTCGTTAGGACGGAGACTCATTCGGGATGAAAGAAAAGCGACTTTTTGCAGCATTTCGTGCACCCAGACGAGTTCTTCCACTGCGGGCAACAACAGAGCTGCACCTCCAACAACTATAAAGTGCATTATTTATCCTGTCCCGACTCATAACCGCAAATAAATGAGAAACAGAGAACYAGTCGTTAAAAGAAAAGGAAGCAGAACTCTTCAGTCCAGCCTAAATCAGCCAGACTTTCAAAATGCTTCAGTTTGCTACTAAATTAAACAGACACATTTTAAACAAATATATTAAAATTCTTCAGCTCAGTCTTAATTTCTGTAGATTTTATTTTAATAAAGTAATTTTTGTTCTTAAAGAAAAAATTTTGTCTTAAATTTGAATGCATTTTTGGAAAGAGAGCATTCATAACATGTTGTGAAAGAAAAAAATCACGCCGCTGAGATAAGCAGTTGTGACGATATTTGCATGTAAAGCAACAGGAAGTGATGTCAGAGGGGGATGTCTTCATGTGAGCAGAGCAATGATAAAATGGCCGACAACACAGACTGTAGAGCAGAATCTGGTGTTAGTTTAGATTACTTTGAGTCAGAGATGAAGTCAGAGTTCAAATACTGTAATARTGTTACAATAAACAAAGACCAGAAAGTTTTCTTTCTTAAAATGTTCCCCTTTGATGTCACTTCCTGTTTCATTTTGGCTGAGCCAAGTTCAGAAGAAAACATGCTGGTTATGTGACAAAATGGGCGAAATTTTGTGCATTATGTCCAGTCTCATAAATATAAAGATGTTGTTTGACTTTTTGTATGTAAAGGAAATGCAAAGCACAGACACTATAATGTTGATGCAGTTTGTTCTCCACATTAAATAAATGGGTTTTCTCCACAAAATGTGTGTTTGATTCAAGAAAACGTTGAATTAATTCTGCCCAACGAGACTCTAATGGAGCTGCCTGCAGGTCTGATCAGCGCTGACTGGACATTATGATAAATGACACGATAAATCACTGTTAACTGCAGGCAGAACTTAATTACAGCAAACCAAGTCATTTTACATTAAGAGYAAATACTTTTTAGGATGAATGATTTCACCTTTCAGAAATGATTTCACCTTTCAGACCTCATGAATCAAGTCCTGAGGACTGTCCATCCTTAAAGACAGTTGTTAAAACTCGTTGGACCAGAAAAGACAGGAAGCAGAACGTCTGCTTCGATTCACGTTGGGTTGGAAAACTAGGATCTGCAATCCTGTCACAATCTGTAATATCTTCATTCATTTGAAAGGACAGCAGATCTGTAGGTTTTTTATGTTTTATTGTCCCTACAGGGGACATTTGTGCAAATTCCTCCAAACGGGACTCATCCGTCGTTTTAACGACGCGTAAAAATGTGAGCCAGATGCACCGCTCCGCTCCACCGCAGACTCTGTGAAACGGCCTTTAGGCAGAAAAGTGACTGACGCTGAAAGGAAGGTGGTTGAGCAAGAAAAGTATCCYTCTGAGCTGTCTCACAGGAATGTGGAGAGTGATGGAACAGAAGATTCAGGTTTTTACTTCGTTACGCTCCCGACATTTCCACGCAGCGCTGCGGCAGGACCTCGGTGCGAGGCTTTCCTTTTAATTATTTATGTTTTTTTTATGGTCTGGTGACAATGTGACATTCTGCACCCCTCCCCCAGAAATCCCAATATTCAAATCCCACCCTCCGGCAGAATTACAGCTGCGTTTATCCTCCTTTCCACGCTTTTTTGATTCTTCCAGTTTCTGATGGTAAATTCTTTGTCTTCAGCTGCAGARGGGTGCAGGAACGTTTGTGGCTTTATAAACAAGGATTTTAACAAACGTAGCTTCATGTTGGTTTCTTTGTTCTGGAAACTGCAACGTGCAGCTCGTAGGTTTTCCAAAGGGGCCGGGCCCTTAGAGMGCCCCGAAAGAACATTATTGGTTTTAATGAACAAGTGTTTTCCAAACGCTTTGATTGGCTTTTTCCCCAAAGAGGTGCTAACCTTTAACCATTGCTTTCACACAATATTTCACACAATTAGCAGAACACCGCAGATTATTTCCAAAACCTTTTATAAAACAAACGTATTTTGSCAACATAAAAAGCACATCTTGGTCAAAAAATCGAATACTCTCCCACCTTTTGTACCATAAAATCCAGCGTGGACGTTTGAACCACATATATTCCAGTTTACTCCATATGAGCTCAGCAGGTTTTGACAAATGATGTGAAAATCCAACACAAAACCTCTCCTGGGTCGTCAGCATCATCCTCATGTTCTGAACCCACCTTCACTGATGCTGCCTCCATGCTTCCACCTGGTTGYTGTGTTCTCACCTGCAGGATGACCATCTGGTCTATAGGTGTGTTTTTTTTTTAACAAAGTGACATCTAAAGTGGATAAATGTGTTGAATGTTTTTTAAAAAGTGTAAACTGACATTGTGCTTATTGTGCACATCAGAGCCTTTAAACTTGTAAGTGTTAAAACAAAAAGCAGCTCTGCTTTGTGACTAAAACATTTAAATAATGTCTCTGTTATTTGTAAGCTTTAAAAATGAATGTGCACATGCATGAACTCATTACTCATTCAGTAAAATACTTGTTTACTAGTGATTAATCGCTGCAACCGTAATTTAGATATAAAGAAGAAAAACTAAATTAAAAGCTTCAGATTTATTGCTTTTAAAGATCTCAGTATTAATTTGTTCGTGAGAGTGATGTTCTCGGTTGCTTTTCTTTGTGAGTAAAATAACTTTAATAGTGTAAACAGGAAGTTTAGATCATCTCACACCTTTTTTTTGTACATCCTTGACTTTTCACCTCGCATCACTCGTCCACATGCAGAGCGGTCCAGAAAACAGGCTGAAGAAAATGAGACGCCTCGTGGTCCACAGCTTCATTTTATTATCTTTGTCACTGGAGCATCAACAGGAGTTATTTGCTTTTCATTTAGTTTTATAACTTTCCAGGTTTCATAAAATGACCCTTGAAAGCAGCGGCGACTTCTGCACACTGGTGTGAAAATCAACAGTGAAGAATGTGACCTTCCTCCTCCTCCTCCTCCTCAGCTGGAGAACATTCAGGAGGCTCTGGTCTCCAGTGTTCCCAGCAGCTGATGATAAGCTGGTCTGTTGGTTCTGAGTTTATCACGCCGCTCCGGGTACAGCAGGGCCACAAATCGCTCCACAGCTTGTTGCTCTGCTGTTTCCTGTAAGATACCACCAGAAGCATGCTGTACCTGAACAGATGAGCTTTCACAGGATATGGTCTCAACTCAGCAGAAATGTTTTAACAACACAGCTAAATGATTCAGGAAAGTCTTTATTAAAGGTCTTGAACCTRGTAGATTTTTGTGTCATTTATTACAGACGTACAAACAAATCTTATCATTTAGCTTATTATTGGCATTTTCCCCATTGATTTACATATAGAATGTATCCGAACAAGCCACACTCGACATTGCATAAAATACAATACAATAAAATACAATACAATACAATACAATAAAATAAAAGGAAATTTTGCTTGGGAGCCATTCTTCTAATAGTCCTTTTGTCTTATCTAGTTATGAGTTCTTTCTCTGTTTTTGGTTTTAAATAGTGTCCAACCAATTATTCCACTTTTCTTCAATTTATGTTGTAGTCTCAGGCAATATGTCAATTTTCCCAATATGTATATTTGTATAATATTTGTATTATGTTTTGTTTTTGTAATTCATCTTCTTTTTATCCTGCTTCATGAACCGTTTTAATTCTGAAAAGAAGAAAAATAAATAGCTTTAATATTAAAAAGAGAAACAATTTACTAAAAACGATAAATAGCATTTGAAAGCTCTCATTTCATTCAATGAAATCAAACATGAAACAGTTTATTCTAAACTTCACATGGTGCCATTTGAAGGAGTTTACTCTAGTTTTCCTGTGTAAACAAAACATTTTTATCTACAATAAATCTTAAAAATCCAAACCACTCGTGTCACTGTTGACATATTTTCATATACTTTTAAGCTGTTTGTCTGTAAACAAACCAATGTGGTAGATGGCAGTGAGCCACAAATTTAAATTGAACATGTTCAGTCAGTTTTACTTGTATTCAACTAAACTTTGGTGCATAACAGAGAGTCATTATAAACACGAACAGGAGTGAGGTTTCTCTTTAAAAATCTGACCTCTAAGGTGGCGGGCCATGTGCAGTTCTTCAAGAATGCTGCTAGTTTGTAGCTGCATCAGGTAGGGGTTACAACTTTTTCACTTCCAATATGATGCCYATATTGACCTTTATACAACATTAGAACAAATCACACTTATTAATTTTGTAGTGTGGAATCTCAAAAAGTCTTTTCAAGTCAAACCGTAGATCTGAGAAAAACAGCCATTTATTTTTAACCAATGGGTTACATCAAGCTTTAACTTAAACATAAGAACATTCTACAATAAAATAAATAAAAAGGAGGGCTTAGATGCAGGCTAATATAATCTGATATTCACTCTTTGGCTAATATTGGACCAATATCTGATAATGATATCGGATCAGAACATCGTGATGCTGCGTAGATGATTCTCACACACGACTGATTTMGCCTTTTTCTGCTTTTTGTTGTCCAGTTTCAGGAGCTTCAGGTGGACAGGGAGCTGCAGCTGACCTCCAACCGGAGCCTGGCCGAGGAGAGCCTGGCTCGACGACCTCGCCTCAACAACGGCAAACTGCAGCTGGCGGAGAAGTACAAAGAGCTGTCCGGTCGACTCACCGCATGCTGGGAGAAACGACGTCAGCTGGGTGAGTTSACCTCGTCGCTGAGGAGACGTGCCGCCCGGGGGTGGGGGGTGTTTCAGGCCTCATGTTGCTTAAATGTCAGCAGCTGTGACGTCAGACCAGATGGAGAAAAACTTTGTAGAATTCAGATTTTGAAAAAGTTCAAGCAAAGCCTCTAAGTCTAAAGGTGAAATAATTCAGTTTATCCTGACGTTCAGGCTCGAGTCTGTGAGTAAACTGAGCTGGCTCTGCCTTCAGTTCTCAGACCTCAGAGGTTTGAAATGATAAAGTGAAAACAATCAAAGCCGTCACTCAAGAGGAAAGGTCGCGTCCTAACCACTCAGTTCAGACTAATTGCACATCCCACAGTGGCTCCTCGTTGTCTTCCCGTCTAATTGCACATAGAGGCTCGGCCAATATTCCTGCAGTTTGAGACGTCGAAAGCAGAACTGCATTTAAATCCCATTCGATTTGGTTTTGGGGGGACGGGGTGGGGAGGGAGGTTCACATCAGAGTACAGAAGAGTCYAGCCTTCATTTGCTCAGCAAACGCCTCAGCATGACTCGGGTTTGGTCATGGGAACAAAACGGAGCATATCAAATGCCAGCAGGAAGCTTGCAGCAGTTGTCAGGGAGTCTGAGGGGTGAAGGGGGGCTCAGCTTTGTTTTTGTGAAGTCATGCTTTTTGACTGAGCTGCAGAAGACGTCTTCTAATCCTTGGTACTAAATTAAAGATGTAATATTTAAGTTAGTTTTATTCTTTCACTGTAAGACAAATCAAAAACAGGTGCTGCAGTAAAATGTGCTGCATTTGTTTCCATCAGTAATCAGTTTTTTTCACAGTTGGGATGTAAGTATGAAAGGGCCATGCCAGGTTTTTTCTGCCTCAGCTGCAGTGATGGAAGTTGGGTGGAATGTTAAACTTCCCGTCAGCGTGAGCGCAGATGCTATCCCACCTCCCCAGCAGAGCAGGATGGGCGGGGGTCCGTCCTTCCTGTGCAAAACATCTGATTCTTATTTGGCGCAGCAAGACGGGGCTGACAGGATGAATGAGTTGAGGTTTTTGTGTGTGTGTGTGTGTGTGTAACGCAGAGAATCGCAGCCGACAGGCTGAGAGCTCTTGTTTGACACATCCTGCTGGTTTGTTGGAGGAATCTGTGACCAGGAGAAGCTGGCTGAGTGAGACGAGCTCCCCAGYTGGAGGAGAAACCTCCAGCTCGTCTGCCTCAGACGGGTTTTATAACAAAAACTACTGGTGTCGGTTTCCCCTCGGCTCCTTCTGTCCCTGCTGCACAACACTCTGCTTTTAGTCCTTGAAATGACTAAAACTGTTTTTAATTTGACATTTGGACTACGGGTGTAACAAAACATCAGTCCARATTGATTAATGATTCAGATCAAAGCAAAATGAAAACATGGATCCATATCTTCATCATATGCCTGATGAGGATCGATGAGTGTGTTAGATGGGCATATATCGCATCATATTATCAATCTCAGACTTGTGAATTGAACATCATCCAAACAAATAAATATAATATTGTATCGTGATAAATCTGCTGATTTACACACTGCAAAAACTGTCCATCTAACCAAGTTTTAAACTCTTATATCAGCCAAAAAGTCTTTTTGATCTTGTTTTGAGACTGATTTCCTAAACAAGAACTGATTTTGTAAGAATAATAATCTTGTTTTCAGAATGTGTAAGATTATTTGTCTTGTTAGTCTGAAAATTTGACTCAAATTAAGTAAAAACTTTCTGCCAGTGGAGTAAGAAATTTTTACTTGGTAAGATTCTTGAAATAAGAAAAAATTGAGTCAAATCAAGTATTTCAACAGTCTTACCAAGTAAAATTTTCTTACTCCATTGGCAGAAATTTTTTGCTTAATTTGAGTCAAATTTTCAGACTAACAAGACATATAGTCTGACACATTCTGAAAACAAGATTATTATTCTTACACAATCAGTTCTTGTTTAGGAAATCAACCTCAAAACAAGATCAAAAAGACCTTTTGGTTGGATATAAGGTTTTAAAACTTGTAAGATGGACAGTTTTTGCAGTGCACCCCCATTTAGGACAAAATTTATATAATTAAATAAGGGCTGCACAATATTAGCTAAAAGATTTTACAGACCGAGCAGTTTTTAGATGAGTTTGGTGACAAAACGTTTGTTCTTCGATCTCAGATGTCTGGTTTTAACGTGGCGACCTGGTTATTTGAAGGTAAATAAATTCCTGCTGATGCTGCGACAGGCTGGAGCAGGTACGCTCAGGTCTGGTTTCCTCGCTTTAACGGCTCACACGGTGACGACTTCAGATCGTCTGCCTTATTTTTGGCACACCTTCTATTTTAAACATGAACACTCAGATGTGATGTTGGCGGGAGAGAATCAAAGCTCACTGCGTTTTTTTTTTTTGTTTGTTTGTTTGTTTGTTTTGTTTTTTAAGGACAGCAACTTTGAGTAGAGATGAATTTTTATTTTCTTAAAAATAGCACACAAATGACAGCCGCCTTAATGTTATATTTGAAGATATTTATAGAAAGGAGATGTGAAACTCTGGCTCTTGAGTTTAGTTGAAGCGGGCAGATGAACTCGTCAGCAGGTTTTTCAGTTACCTGAGACTCTTTCATGTTTTACAAACAAATTAAAAGCATTTTTCTCCTGTGAAGACGGAAGGTTTTAAATTACACTCGATGCAGAATTAGAACACAACCCAGCATGTGTCAGTGGGAAGAAACAAAATGTCTTTGCTTTTAATTTGTTTATTTATTTGCCAGCGATCGGCTGGAGAAAAGGCATTACTCTTGTCGGCCTGAAACAGGAACCTTCTTGGTGCGTCTTGTTTATGTGTTGATTTATTATTTAATATCTGGCTCTGAACTCGAGTCTATCAAATCAAATCTGAGCGACTGAGACTTTGAACAAAAGGACTTTTGTTCTCCTCCTCTGAAACTCTGCCTCTTCTTCTTCGGGACTTTCCATCTTCATATTTGAATAAAAGGATTACGCCCTTTGACTCACAATCACCGAGGAGCTTTAAAAGATCAGATTGTTTCTCCTCGTGGTGAGAAAGGCTGTTTTACTCTTTGGCTGGACGATACATATTTCATTAACACAGAGTGGTAAAAGTGGCGTTGCAGGAAACGGCGTAAAGATGCGAGGGTGTTGCTGACAGTTGGCAACACTTCAGTTAAACCAAAGACCATCTGTGAGTCCGTCTAAAAGGACGGGGATATAGTTTGCTGAAGGCGCTTCCATTCTTTTGTTTGCAGGGATTAAAGCTTTGTTGTGTGATTTTAAAGCGAAGCAGCTGCGTGATTTGTGGGAAAATTCCTTTGATATTAAACCAAGAGAGGAAACACGACAAGTTAAAGGCTTCACCTTACTGATTCATAATGTTTCCTTTTGGGGGGGGGGTTTGTGTTTTTAAGGCACACAGTTCAATTCTATACCACAATCAAGTAACTATGTTACCTTCAGTTGTTATATTTTAAAAATGAGTTTGATTTTACGTCATAACCTAAAGGCTCCATCTCTTAAAAACCTCCTACCGTTTGTCTTCACAATAATGGTTCAGGGGAGGGATGCTCTGTGGGCTGCAGATGGAGCTCCAGGGAGGAGCTTTGTACAAATAGGCGGAGCTTTGTGCTAGCAAGCATTCAGGCAGCTCCACATGGCTACAAAWGATTCAAGGATTTCTCAAACATGCATGAATGAGTCAGAGCAACACTCTCGGTATGTTTTTGATGAGGAAATGACAACAAGATATAAAGCTAAAAAATTTATTTTTTACAATACCCTCYCCCTTTAAGTTTCAGTTAGAAAAGCTTTTATTTTAATGTCTAACTCATTTTTTTATTCTGCATTATGTAAGCGCTGTCAGATGAAGCTTCAGATTTTCTAACAATAAGCTGCTGTTTGAGCTGCTGTGGTTTCTGACAATAAGTGAACAGTTGTCTGGTCGTACTGTTGCATTTAAAGCTGGCTCTGTCCGGCCAAACCGTGCCATTTTAGGTTGTGTAAGAAGTTTATCTTCCTTACAAATGCGCGTATTGTTTAAGCTTCTGAATGGAGCAAACTGGTGAAAAGCCTCAGTATGGTTTCATTAAAGAGTTTTCTGTTTGCAGAGAAATGAGTTCTCCCAGCTGTAAGCCTCCTTAAAGCCAGCATTAACCTTTTTTACAAGTAAATACTGTGCTGAGAAAACAATCCTCAGCTAATACAGACACGTAAATTACAATATGTTTAAGGTTTTTGAGTTTAAATCTRGGGTTTTACGATGGAGCGCAGCCGCTGGGCTGAGATGTGAACTAGTTGGTGTTTTGTCAGAAACTGTGAAGCTGTCGTCACACGTTTTGTTGGGTGTTGTTTTAGAAACGAGCTGCAGGGCTATAATTCACCGCTGACATGTTTGCTGATTTTCAAGCCTCGGGTACATCCACGTCCTTCAAGGCTCCGCTTGGAACCAGTGTGACCTCTTTTTTTTTTTTTTCTCCGTGTGTAAAACAGCAGCTCATTCCTCCTGGTAGCTTTCAGCTGGAAACAACGTGGTCGTTATTATCGACCGATGGTATCTGCCTCATTTCCAGCTGCCGCCTGATGGGCCAGCCTCGCTGATGATCTGCAGCCTTTGACCGGAGACGGTGTCACCGGCAGTTCAAGCACGCGGCCAGCCTGGATGCTGGAAGAAAGAACGCTGCGTTCGCTGCTGATCTTTGATCCACATTCCTGCTGCTTACAGTCAGCGCTGCAGCACTTCCTGTCTTCAGTGTAGGGCTGCACAGCTTTAGAAAAAACTGACGGGATTTCTTTCTATATCYTGATGTGAAAAATCACAGGAATTCTCACACAGTTTGTTTTGCTGCCATCTTGTTGACGATGAACCTGCACCGATCTGAGCTAGTTTTTTTTTTTGTACGTGTTAAAACATGTTTTTCTGTATTCGACAGGGTTCCCACGGGTCCTTGAAAGTTTGTGAATTTGAAAAAATTATCTCAAGACCTGGAAAGTTTGTGAAAACA